ACAGTGAGGGAGGGAGGGAGAGGGACAATGAGGGAGGGGAGGGACAGTGAGGGAGGGAGGGAGAGGTGTGCACACAGGTTGGGTGCGGGTGGGTGCTCGCTGGGTGGAGCCAGGGCCCCAGGGGCCAGGCAGATGCACCACTCTGAGCCACACTGCAGTCCCCGCTTTTCCTTTTACATACAGTGCGGGTGGCAGGGCAGGGAGCCCACCCGGCCCTGTGAGGCCGCTGGGTGGGTGCCAGTGCTGCGGGACTCCAGAGGCGTGAGTGCCCCTGCGACATTCAGGGACTTTTCCCTTCCAGGCTGGGCAAAGTCCTGCCAGAGGCCCCGTCTGCTCATCTGCTCTGAGCCTTTGAGAGAGGACGCTGCCTCCAGCGCCCCACAGTCTCCGCCAGGAGCCCATGCTCAGGGTTCTGACTGGCCGTGAGAGGAGGGCAGGGCGCATGTCAGCAGTGTCCCCGTGTGTGGGGTGGGGCGGGGCAGCAGGTCCTGCCTCCTGCTAGTGCCTTCCTCTGGGGAGGCTGGCGGGGGGGCCTACGGGGCCTCTGGTCCTTCTTGGGGTCAGTCTGGGGGCAGGCAGAAGGGACTCGCTCCTTCTTGCAGCTAGCTGAAGGTCACACGTGTTTGGTGCTCAGCAGTCTGAAGGACTCCCTTTTGCTTCCCAGGTCCCCGCGGGCATGGGTTTGAGTCACCCCTGCCAGGGGAGAGCGGGGTGCCTGGGCGGCTTCCTGATCTCTTGTTTCCTTCCAGAGGAGGTGGACCTGGGCACTGAGTGAGGACACAGCGGACAGTCCTGAGTGTTACTGGACCGGGGCCACCTGCAGCGGAAGGTGCTGCCCTGATGGCTGCTGTGCTCTGCCCTGTCTTCCAGGACCTGGTGACCATGGTGGAGCAGCTGGCCAGATTCCTGGGTGTGTCCTGTGACAAGGCCCAGCTGGAGTCCCTGAGCGAGCACTGCCACCAGCTGGTGGACCAGTGCTGCAACGCGGAGGCCCTGCCTGTGGGCCGGGGTATGTGTCCCGCCTCCCTGCTCAGGGTCCCCCCTCCCCTCTGTTGCTGCCCTCGGGCTCTGGACCATTCAACAGTGCTTTGCTGGCCTGTGCCATCTGCTTTGCCAGGGCAAGATGTTCACCTGCCAGCCAGTGCCCACTGGTGGCGTGGTGCCTGAGCAGTCAGTGCCGAGCCCACCATTGCTTGGGACCCTTGAGCCGTGTTGCTTGTGGGAGGGCGGCTGCTGGGGTGTTGAGGCCAGATGCTTGCAGACAGGGAGCCTTCCAGAGGGCTGTCATCCAGGGCCTTGCAGAGCAGCCCCCAGGATGGCTTCGGTGCCAGGAAAGGACAAATGTAAGACTGTGGGCGGGCCCTGCAGCCTCCGCCTGGCTGGAAGAGCCCCAAGTCATGCAGAAGCAATTCCCGAGGGAGGAGGCCCTGCCTTCCTTCCTTCACCCGGGGGACACTGTCCCAGTGTCTTTGGGGTACAGGTGAGGAGTGACCTAGCCCTGGGGTGAGCAGTGTGATAGGCAGGTGTGTGCCCTTGCAGCAGGAGATGGGGAAGGTAGTTCAGGCAGGAGGCCCCCCAAGGCTGCCTGCGTTGCCCCCCCATCCTTAGGGCCATGGGCATCGGACTCTGCTCAGCAGTAGGGAGTTTGGGCATTAAAATCCCCAGGATGAATCCCGGGGTGGTGGCCATGGCCACCCAAGCCCCTTACTGGTAAGTATGACTCTCATCCATGTGGGGGTGTAGACCTGAAGCTGGTGGCAGTGTGAACTGGAACTTGCAGGGGACGAGACGGTTCGAGGGGGACACGGAGCCTCAGGTGGTGTGGGAGGTGCCTGTGGGGAAGATGAGAGCTGGCTGGGTCCCAGCATGGCTGTCTCTGGAGAGAGACCTGGCTCAGCCCTCCAGCGCCCAAAGCTCCCTGTCCTTTGTCTAAAAGGGGCCAACACCACCAGGGGAGGCCAGAGAGCCAAGCACAAAGGGCCTCCCCAGGAAGGCTGTGGCTCCAGTAGGAGGCAGGGGAGGCAGGTCGTGGGCTGTGTGGTGCCGGGTGTGCCCCCGCCCTGCAGGAAGAAGCCAACCAAACCAAAATGCACCCTGATGTATTCCTGGCTGCATCTTCACGAGTATCTATTATTTGAACTTTGTTTGCTGTTTTCAGTTTTGCATTTGCTGTTTTGTTCTGGCCCTTTGTGTATGTGTGTGTGTGGTGAGCGTGTGGGGACGCCGTGCCCTGGGCTCCTTCTGACTGTGTGCTTGGTCATCGTCTGCCTTGGTTTCGCTTTATTTCAGTTCTGTGGTTTTGTTTCCTTTTAGCACATTGCCTCTTTGCTCAGAAGATCTCCTTGAGCTGGTGAGAGCGCAGGGCTCGGGTAGCCAGCCGCATTGCTTAAATTTGATTCATATCACAGCATAAATTGTCTTGATTCCAAATCCTAAACCAGGTGGGTGATCCTTCAACCAGCGCTCAGCTGCCTCGGCTGAGAAAATAGTCACGGAAAAATGTAACTGTAGAGTGGTTGGTCTAGAAGCTTCTAATTTTGTCCTTTTGGTGCCATCAGAGGGGAGCACGAACAATTTCTTTTATTTTTTTCCTCTCCAATGCTGATAGTTTTTCATTCCCAAAGAGAACACTGCCGTGCGGGGCTTTTGCTCAACACCTGCAAGGCTGCATCTTCCCACCTGAGGTCCTGCCAGGGCAAGGGCACTGCCCATGGCAGAGCTCACAGCAGAGCTTTGCTGGAGACGTCAGGGGCGGAGAGCCGAAGGGTCTGACGGAGCTGGCCAGTCCTTCGGTGTGACTCAGCCAGGGCCCTGTTCCCCCAGGTGGCAGCTCCGAATCCCCACTCGGCACTTCAGAGCCCCCATAACTGTTTGGACCTGACCAGCCTGTTGTCTTTAGCAGACTTTCACCAAGCCTTCATCTGCTAGTGCCCAGCGCCTGCCCAGTGCCTGTCCAACCCCAGCCTTGCCCAGCTGCCCTGCAGAGGTCTGGCTCCCGCCACCAGGTGGAGCGATACTTAGACTTGAGCTGAGGACCTCTCGCATCCCGCCTAATCTCAGAAGCCACTCTGCCCATGAGTGTGTCATTCACTCTGAGTCCCCAGGGCTCTTGAGTGTGCTTCCTCAAACCTCCTGGGCCCACCAGGAGGGCTTGCTCCTTGCCAAGATATTTCCTGCCTTTTGAATGATTTTTTTCTTCTTTTTCAAATTCTCCAGAGGCAAGTGCTGTGTTGGTGGATCTGTTGAGCTCTGAGGAGTCACGGTGTCCTGAGGACCCCAACTCCACATGATGCCACAGCGCATGCACCCCACAGGTGGCATTGCTCTCTGGGTGTTTACTAAGCCCCCCTCTGTGCCGCGTGCTGCTACAGGTGCTGGGGAGTCAGCCAGGAACAAGAGGTAGCGTCCCTCCTGGCGGGCCTCAGGTCCGTGAGGCTCTCCAGCACAGTACGTGGCAGCAGCTGGCTGGGCCCACTTCACTCCCAGACCCAGAGGAATTTGGTTCCATTTATGTCCTTGCCAATCACAGTAGCTCAAAAACACAGGGGACCCAGCTGGGCTGTAGCTCAGATGGCCCATCCTGCCCCCACAGGCCAAGTTTAGAGGGGTCCAGGAATAGATCTGGAGCCTTCCAGATCCATTTCCAAGGCTTCCTTTGGTCTGCTAGCTGGTCCAGCAGCAGGTGGGTACACACGCTCTGCTCTGCTCTGTTGCAGGGCGGGTCGGGCTGTGGAAGGACATCTTCACCGTCTCCATGAACGAGAAGTTCGATCTTGTGTATAAACAGAAGATGGGGAAGTGCAACCTCACCTTTGACTTTTATTTATAGTAACAGAAACAGCAAACTTGCATGCCCTCAGTACCCAGACGCTCTGCTAGCTAAAAGTCCGTATGCATTCATTTATTCCTTGCTGGACACACTCTGGAAGCAGCGTGTAAACAACAGGAAGAACCCAGCGGAGAACCCGGAGAAGGGTGCGGATGCCCACCAGGCGGTGTCTCGCCCTCAGCATTTGCAGTCTCTGCTGTGTACAAACCTCATGGAGTGCAGTCCTGGTGGCTGTGCCACTTTAAGTGTGGAACCTGCACCATGGGTGGCCAAGTGCCGCCTGTACCACCCTGTGCCACTTACTGTGTTTTATAGAGCTTTTCACTGGAAGTCTGAATAAATGTCGGTAAACCAAATAGAAGTTCACTTTTGGGGGGAAGCAAGAGTGAGCCACTCCCAAACGGCAGGAAGATCTCAGGGTCGCCTCTAGTCTGGTCACCTAAGCCACAGCCATCCCGTTCCGCTCTTGCCTGGCCTGCAATGGTGAGAGCGTGTGGTGGGGGGAACCTGCCTGGTTTGGGTGGAGGTGGGTCCTTTGACCCTTTCTGACACCAGGCAGATCCTGTTCTCAGGCCAGAGCAGAGGATTCCATGGAAGTTTCTGTGGGGAAACGTGGCTACGAGGTCAGCAGCGCTCGAAAGCAGTGAGTGGAGGGTCTGCCAGAGAGACCTCGATGCTTTGGAGTCACGTTTGAACTGTAGTCTAACCTTTTGTCCCTGGGGCAATGGCACACCTGTGCTGGCAGTCCGTTTCCCAAAACCCCTGTCTTGCATTCAGCTTGTTCCTTCCAGCTGTACGTGAGGCGGAGGGCCGAGGGTCGTGAGCTGTGAGCCGAGGGTCCTGAGCTGGCCTGCAAGTTGAGCTCCCTCACCAGAGGGGTTGGCGAGCCGCCCTTGTCTGTCACCCCACACCTTGGGGTATCTGAGGGAGCAAAGGTGATGTGTCATTGTCCCACCACCTCCTGAATCTTCTGGCCCACATTCAGCTGGAGGTGATGGAGATGTGAGGTGGGCTGCTGCCAGCTGCAGGTGGCGTGCAGCCTGCTACTACAGGGGGCTGCGTGGTCTCTGACTCCCACTGGGGTCGCTGCTGGGGAAGGGGCTCTGCAGCGGAGGCTGTCTGAAGCAGGTGCAGCGGGAGGCTGGGGGTTCTGTTCCTACTGGGGCACCTGGCGCTACGCGGAGGTGGTGGCACCTTTTCTGTGCGTCCGGGACAGGCTGCTTTCTGTGAAATTTCATTTCTATTTTTCTATTTTTCGCACTGGGTGGTGTCACCGAGCGCCACCTGGTGTTGCTGTGCTTGCTGCATCTTGAATAAAGACACTTGCCCTGCCTTCTGTCGTGCGTGTGCTGGGGGTGGAGGACGTCCCTGTGGGTCCTCAGGACTGTGGGACAACAGGAGGGTGAGCCACATAAATGTCCCATTCCCTGAGGTTGATGACAGAGGGAAACCGGCCACCTTGAGACCAGAATCAGGCTGTTTAACTCACGGTTTCCAACGTTTGGCTCCCTGTGTTTTGGCGTATTTTTATGTATTCACAGAGTACAACCCCGTGTGTGTATATAATTAGGATCCCTTTCACCTTTTATAAAGAGGTGGCTGGAGGGAGGAGGGGTTTCCATGCACCTGTGGGGCGGGCCTCCGCCTCTGCAGCCTGCCGGACAGCACTGTGTCCTGGGGTTTGCCAGGGACAGCTAAGCAGTCAGGGTTGCACTGCCCCCCATGAATTCCAAGGCCTCTCCAGGGTCCTTATCGAAGGGAAGGTGACATTGTTTTTCTTGAGAAAGCGAAAGCTTCCTGGAGAATCCTGTTTACTGTCAGGTGAGTGACTTCCTCCAGGCCACAGGTGAAACCCTCTCTTGTGTCTGGTTGGTTCATTGTGTGTCCCTCCTGCGTTGCCCTGCTGTCTGCCCTGCTGTCTGCCCTGGGGCATGCACCCACCTGAAACACCGCAGGGAGCTCATGGAGTCCAAAGGCAGTGCGTGGTGGGCTCGCTCCACCCCACACCTGCTCTGCTGATGTCCCCTCATTTCAGGGCGTCTTTTATCCACTAGATACTTGAGCACCTGCTCTGTCTTGGGCCCTGTGCAGAGCAGCAGCAGAGCAGTGAGACAGCCCAGCCTCCAGGCACGTGTGTCCCAGTGGGGAGAGAAGTCAGTCAGACCTGAGGCAAGGTCAGGGTCCAGAGTGCCAGCAGAGAGCTGGGGAGCAGGCTGTGGAGGAGTGGAAGGCCCCCGCTCAGGGAGCCACTGAGGAGAGCCTGGGTGGCAGCAGTGTGCCCCAGGCACTCCTATGGCAGGAGCTCGCTTTGGAAGGGGTTTTGCACTAAAAAGGAAGCCGTGGGTGGTTTGTTTCATAGGAGAGGACACCTGCTTTGCATCTTCCAAGGCTTCCCTGGCTGCCCTGTGAGTCACCTGCGGGGCCGCCCATACTGTGGTGCAGGCAGGCTCAGCATGAAGACATCTCCAGGGTCCCTCCCCACCTGGAAGTCTGGTCTTGGCATTCACGGGTCCTGGGTGTCATCTGCAGTTCCTACCTTGCTGCCTCCGAGCTGTGATGAGGGACATCAGCTGGGCCATGAGGAACCGCGAGGACACAGGTAGAAGCAGGTGTGAGGGTGTCGTGGGCGGCTGGAGGAGTTAGTGTGCTGAGCGCAGTTGGAGTCCAGCAGGGCCTGCTGGGAGGAGCCTGGACAGGCAGAGGGCGAGGGTGCCCAGGTGGCTGCTGTGAAAACAGGCCACTAGGAGCTCGTGTCCGTCAGTGGTTGCCCTTTATTTCACATGCCAGGAAGGTGCTGGGATGTGTCTGGGTGGACGTAGGTGTATGTGTACTTGTGAGTTGGTGCTGCAGCCCTGGGCAGAGCGTGTGACCACAGCCTCCCCAGGCTGGGGCCCTGCTCCGACACTAGGTGTTTGGAGCTTATCCTGTTTTCCCTCCTGGCCCCGTTATTGACCTGAGTGGGGACCAGCATGGGCTCCATGGCATCCCACCGGACGCTCCTCTGACCCAGCATCATCATGTGCAGGAAGGCAGTCACCTTTGTCCCGTTCACTTTCAGAATGGTCATGACACCACCATGGCCCTTAAACAATGCACAAATCCCTACCCCAGCTGCTCTGCGCCAGCTCCGCCTGGTGGCCAGGGTGCTGTTGGCAGCTCATGGCCTCAGTTCTGTGGTTGAGGAGTGCACAGTGGTGGTCACAGCACTGCAGAGGGACGCCAATCAGCTACAGGCCCTACTGCGTGCTGGCCCCCCCTTCCTGGGCTGGGGATGGAGCTGGTGTTGGAGGAGTCTTGGTGCCTGGGCTCTGTGGCGCCAGCCCTGTTCTCTGGAGTTCTCCCTCCCCACTCGGAACCTTTGAGCTCCTCGGTGCACAGCATGCACTGCAGTACAGGGATGGCACCTTGGTCAGGGTCCAGCCTTGCCCAGCAAGGAATGGCCTCTGATATCCCCAGCAGCCGGATGCACGGTCCCTGGTAAGCTTGCTGCCTCCAGACTCTGCGAAGTCTCTAGTGACCTTGCAGGCACTGTCCCTGCCAGCTGTGTCTCTGCACCTTGGGATGTTCACTTCCTCACGCTGGGCCCCCAGCCCTGCTGCCTCCGCCTGGGGCGAGTCCCTCTCCTTCCCTGGACTGCGGTTCCTCGTGCTCCCTACTGTCCTCTCTTTGTGCCCACCTCGGTGTCCTGTGGCCGTGTCCCTCAATGAACAGCCGTGCTCTGAGAGCAACAAAGGTTCTGTCTTCCTAGGTCAGAGGTGGGCACCTGGTCAGTGACTAGTGAGTGAAAGGCTACTTCAACTGCCAGCGCCGCTCTTTCCTTTCAGGAAGCTGCCCACCTTGTACCTTCCGACCACTGCAGCTGGCTGGCTGGTGGAGGCTGCATCTTCTGAGCCGTCACCTGATGACCCCATGCCCTGGCCCCAGTTCTGAGTGTCTGTTCCTTTACTGTCCATGCCATGGACCCTGCTTGTTCCTGAGGTGCAGCCTGGAAGTCTCTGGCTGTATGGATCCAGGCTGGATTGCAGGGTAGCTGTTCCTGGTGCTCCCTTTCCCACCTCTCCTCTGCCTCTTCCCTTAAGCTGAGGCACGTGGTGCCTATGAAGCTGCCAGCGTCCCTCCTTGGTCACGCCTGTCTCCTTTCTTCATCTCTTGGCATTTACTGAGCACCTACTCTGTGAGGCCTGGTGCTGGGTGCTGGGGACCCACCATTCTATTCCATGGGCTCTGCTCTGTGTCATCACCCACATCAGTATGGAAAAGGGCCTGGTGGGGAGCAGAGGTGGCTCTGAAGTCTAGGTGCTGGAACTGGGCAAGGCACCTGCCCTCCCAGCCTGGGCCTCAGTTTGTTCACTGTAGTCTTGTAGTCTGTTTATGGCTGAGGGACTGTCCCCACCAGGAATGGTGGAGAGTGACCTCTGCAGAGATTGGGAGCAGACAACCTCAGGGCTGCAGAAAGGCTGCTTATGTGAGAAACCCAGTGGGAGCTGGGTCTAAAAACAGGGCAGGAAGCGGAGGGTGCGTGCAGGGGCATGGACAGAAATACAGCAGGCCATGCCAGGGCAGGCAGCCTCGCCCAGTCCCCACTGCAGTTCCAGGTCCAGCTCTGTCCACGTCCAGGAATTCAAGCAGGGTCCTTTCATCCCAAGGTGAAGAGGTCTCAGCCCAGAGCCTTGGGAGACTCCTTTGTGTGGTCAGATTGCCTACCGACCAGCTCCACAGAGGAGCTAATGAAGCCAGTGACTTTGTAGCTGAGGAGGGACGGGCCAGCAAAAGAATCAGTCGCAGAAGCACCTGCCACACAGATTGGCCTGCAGTTCCCATCTCCAAGGCGTGCTAAGCTCTTGCCAAATCTGTACATCAAATGACAATTTGATTCGCACACTTGGATTCCTGCGTGCTGGTTGGCATGGAGCGTCTGAGCTGCAGTCCTTAAATCTGTCTCCTGCCACGAGGATAGGAGCCTGTGCTTATTAAAAGCAGTTTGGTTTTTTTTAAACCAAAGAATGCTAAGTGTGTCTGAAAAATAAAAACCAACCAGAAAATGCATTGTATCTTTTTTGAAGTTGTCATCTTTACATATATGCATGGTGTCGGGCACCAGCTGGGAACAGGAGTCTGAGAATATTGTGAGCAAGGCCATCTCTGCAGAAGGACCACTCCCTCCGTGTCACCAGGGACTTGACTCGTCTGTACGTCCTCAGAAGACTTCAGTGAATGGCCCAATCGCCAGTCTCAGCCCCGCCTTTGTACTTTGTAGTACATTGTTTCCGGGTGTTGGGGGGAGTATCTTTCAGATGCCACTGGCAGCTCAGAGTCCATCTCTGTGCTCTTGTGCCCACCATGCCCCACCTGGGCTACTGTTCCCTGACTTAACCCAGCTTCCACTGATTCAGCTTTGAGCTGGGTACAAAGTGTGGGGGCTGCAAGCTCCACTGTTGGTCAATACTGCACCTCCCATCACATAACCGGGACCCAGTGACCGACTGCAGAAGCATCAGAGGAGGGCCATGAGCATGCCTTTCACTTTCCCTGGGGTCAAGACGTTGGCACAGAGGCCTTGGTCAGTGGAGTCTTGGCAGGACATTCCTGCTGCCTGCTGGATCCAGCTCAGTGGGGTCATATTGGTAGCACTCGGATGCCAGTGTCCCTGACCCTGAAAGCACTTCATCTGGTACTTGCCCTTTGGCCCCGCCCACACCAAGGCCCTGACTCTTGTGTCGGCCTCCCTGACTTTGGTGGCTCCTACACTGTCTTGGAGTCCCCTGCTGCTGCTTTTTGTTGCTTGGCATTTATTCCAGGGCCTCAAGAATGCTAAGCACGTGCTCTGCTCGGAGCAGATCCCTGGCCTCTGCATTCCCAGTGCTGTAGGTCCACGTCCCCATCTTGTGTTCACCTTAAAGTTCACACTGAGGCTGCATTTTTACCTAAGACCTTAGGCAGTCACCAAATGTGGTAGACTGGCCGATTTCCAGTGGTTAGCGACCACCTCTGCCCTGGGTCCTACCACACTTGGGACCCTCCAGAGGAGGGAGAGGCTGAGGCTTCCTTCCCCAGAGAGGGTGACTGCATGCCCATGCCCATCGTGAGATGAGGCGCAGCAGCTCGCCTTTCTCTGTGTAGCGTGCCAGGACTTGGATCCTGGGATTCTGAGAGTCCCCAGTCATGGGATATTGCTTTACATTTGTTAGCTGTCTTCCTTTCCAGGGTAGATGTTTTCAGCCCCAGTAGACCATAAGCAGGGGCAGCACCTCCTTTGTCACTCTCCCCACTCTGTGCTTAGTGCAGCACCCTGCTCCTGTCAGGTAATCAATAGACGCTTGTTACCTAACTAAAGGCAAATTAAATGCTAAACAGCACTAATTGCAAGCTGTTGCAAGATCCTGGCTCTCGGCAAAGAGAATTACTTGTGATTGCCAGGGGTTTGCTTGTGGCCCAGGTGTACGAAACATGAAATTGTTCTTTTCTAACTGCTTCTCTGTTCAGAGGGAGGGCCATTCTTCTAAGATGGCTGTAAGACAATGTTGTTGAGAGGGCAGGACTCATTGAAACTCAAAATTTCTGTATTCTACACTGTGGAATCTTGTTCAGGAGCAAGATAAGTGGATTTTTTATTCCATTTCCATGAAAGGAGACAACTAGCAGCTATAAGGGAAATCAAGAGCTTAATAGTATATTAGTGCATTAAGGGGTGGAAGTTTCTACGGGACTGTGCTGAGCCGGTGTCGAGTCTCTCTGAACGTGGGATCCTAGAATAGACACTGAAATGGCCCGTTTACAAATGGTGATCAATTACTTATAGTGACAAATGAACAGTGCAGTTTTGTTTCTGGCTGGCTGGAAGCGAGCAGCTGCCTCTGTCAAGGTACGCATCCGAGGGAGGAAGCATCTATTTTAGTAAAGAAAAAATAACGACAATAGCTTTTCCAAGACAGCTACTTATACCTCATTTATTTTTATTTAATTTCTCTTCCCCTGAGGATAGCTAGGCAGCTCTTATGAGGCAGCAGAAGGAACGGCAGTCAGAATTCCCACAGGCGCTCTGGGCAGCGTGCACCTGGCCAGTGCTTGCTCTTCTGTCCCTTTTTATTAACAGATGTGGGGGAGGCTGGTCCCTCAGGTCTCAGGTCAGTCAGTCCCTGCTGCTCACACACACAGGCATAACCTCTGTTTGGAGCATCAGCAGTGATGACTGATAGTCACATGCTTCACCTTATTGCCCCATCTCCAGGTGCACAGAACTGTGGTGAAAACCCACTCAGGACTCAGCCCCGCGGGGTGAGCAGAGGGTCACTGCCATGCAGTTCTCCAAGATCCCAGCTTTGTCTCCATCCATGAGGGAATGGGCCGTCTGCTGGCAATCCTAAGTGTAAATATATTTTCTCCTGTTCCTCACAGTTGCTTTTCAAGATCATCAAAGGTCTTGGGCAGCAGATCTATGCAGTGGGTAGGAGGAGTGGAGATTGTGTTCAGGAAGCAAGTGACTCACTTGGCTCATTTAAGTGATGCAGATGGGTATCCTGGAGAGGACAGGAAGCACCCCCAAGATCCAGGGTTCCCTGGGAAAGCAGACCCACTGCAGGGCACCCAAGGCACTGCGAAAGCTGTTCCTTCAAAGCAACAATCCCTGAAGACTGTCCCTTGCAGCAACTGTCACATTACAGAACTCTGGGCTGTTTGAACAAAGATCAGACCTACTTTAATAGAGATTATGGTTTCATCAGGATACAAGTAAGATGGATTTAGGATCTTGTTAAAAACAAAAACAAAAACTAACTCTTCTCATGGAAGTGAGAAATTCCCAGGAGCAAGGAAATCCTTCAGAGTGAAGACGCTCTTCAAACACACAAAAACATCTGTGGTAACCCTTGTGACAGCCTTGTCTAGTCAGTCCTTTGAATACAGTCATCTGCCTTTTCACTCTGGGGTTGCATCTTAAGACCCCCAGTGATGCTGGAAACTGAGGATTGGACTGAACCCTATATGTGCCTATAGTTTTCTTTTTTTCCCTAACATATGTACCCATGGGAAAAGTTCAATTTAAAAAATATACACAGTAAAGAAATTAATGACAATCACTAATAATAAAACAGAATAATTATAAAAGTTATGTAAGTATGCTCTCAGTCTCAGAGTATCTTTAATTTTTTAATGATACTGGGAATTGAACCCAGGGTCTTGCACACGCTAGGGAAGCACTCTAGCCCTGAGCTGCACCTCAACCTTTTATAAAAATATTGAGACAGGGTCATGCTTAGCTGCCCAGGCTGGCCTTGAACTTGGGATCCTCCTGCCTTAGCCTTGGAGTAGCTGGGATTACAGGGGTGCACCTGGCTCAGAACACCTTATTGTACTGTCCTCATCCTTGTTCTTACTATGCCTGTGATGAAGTGAATGACATAGGTGCTGTGATGTAGTGTTAGGCTACTATGTGAAGGTTAGCTGGACACAAGCACTGAGAGACTGTTAATCTGATAACCGAGACCGGTATGTAGTTGGCTAATGGGTGGATGGTACATACAGTGTGGATACCCTGGACAAGATGATTCACATCCTGGACAGGGTGGGGCAGGATGGCACATGATTTCATAACCCTACCCAGAATAGGGTGCAGTTTAAAATTCATGAATTGTTTATTTCTGATATTTTCCATGTAATATTTTTGGACCATGGTTGACCCTAATGTAACTGAAATCAGAGAAAGCAGGGAGGACTACTTTACATGGATTCAAAGAAATAAGGAAGGATTTCGAGTTTCCTGATTGGTAGCTACACTGGCCCAGATGTACACTGCTCTGCTTCCCTGCTGATTTCAGGTCAGTTCAAAAGACACTAAGTCCCTACTAAAATATTGTTTGCTCACATAGCCAGATTATCAGTTTTCATCTAAAATTCTCTCAGAAGAATACTGCTAAAACTAGAATCCTTTCAAAGACTCCCACATAAAGGCCTGTTCTCATACTTACTTTATTCTGAACAACAAATAACCCTCACTTTTTTTGTTTGTGTATTTATTTTAACTATCTGGATATGAATTGGAGTACACCTTGCGGAGGAGACAGAAGAAGGACAGAGGGGGAGGAAGGGACTGATTTAACACAGACTGAGTGAATTCCTAGTGCCATGTCATTATTTTTTTTTCTGATGTTGGATATATTAGATGTTATTTTAAATAGCTCTTCTAAAGTGAACTTTAAAAAACAATATAGTGGGGCTGGGGTTGTGGCTCAGTGGTAGAGCGCTCGCCTAGCACGTGCAAGGCCCTCGGTATGATCCTTAGCACCATAAAAAAAATAAATAAAATCAAGGTATTGCATCTAACTATAACTAAAAAATAAAATTTAAAAAAAGCTACAAAAATACAGTGGAGATAACCCTTGAGATTATAAATAGCCACATTTTTTTTTTAAACACAACTGTTCCAACGTTATGTGAATAGTCCTTATAACTGACAGTCACAGAAGAGGAGAATATGAGACAGAAGCAACATTTGAAGAGATAATGGTCAAGAATTTTCTAAAACTGATGAAAGACATGAGGCCACATATTCAAACCCAAGCAAAACAAAGACAAAACCACACATAGGCCCACCTTTAAAACTCCAGAGAAAAGAAAGACACATTCCTTCCGAAGACAGAAGACTTGGCAAACTCAAGGACGAAAGCCAGCTATAACTAAACAGCATCATTAAAATGCTGAATGAGAATAACTGCCAACCTAGAGTCTATATTCAGCAAAAACATCTTTTAACAAGGACAGTGAATAAATGCATTTTCATATGAATAAAAACTGAATTGATTCCTTGGCAGCAGATTCACAACTAAACAACTTTTATTGTGTCCTCTCTCTGGAAAAGAACGAACAGGAACAACAACAGAAAGAAGAGATGGAGAATTTCAACAGCTGTATAAACCTGACCTAACTTGAAAACCCAACAACTTGACAACTCCAAAATGCACACTATTTTCAAGTGCACGTAAAGTAGTTCCTAGAACTGATCATATGGTGAACCATAAATGAGTCTCAACAAATTTCAGCAGATAAAATCTTAAAGTTCTCTGACCACAATGGACATGAGCTAAAAAATTGACAACAAAAATATGGCCGGAAAATCCCCCAAATGTGTATAAATTAAGACAGTTCTATACAGCCATAGGCCAAAAAGATGGAAATTAAAACGAGGTTTTTAACTGAATGCTCCAAATCAGTCTATGACAATGCAGCCACAACAGTGCGTGGGGTAGGGGGTCCTTTATAGCTTTGAACACCTGACTTAGAAAAGAAAAAAGGCTGAAAGTCAGTGATTTCAATATTCATATCATAATGGCAGGAAGAGAAGAGCAGATTATGCCCAAAAGAAATAAGGAAGTAAAAAAGAGCAAAAAATCAATGAGAGGAAAATGAGTAGGAGATCTATTTGAAAATCTACAGACAAACCATTAACAGGAAGGAAGGAAGCGATGTCACTGCAGATCCAGGGTGACTGACAGTCCTGGTTTTGGCACTAAAGACTATGTACTAGGAAACCCTTCATTTCCTGGCAAACAGAACAGTTGGTCACCCAGATCCACCAGACCTGGTGCTAAGAGGGTGTTGAAAACAGTGTTAGGCCAACATGCTTGACAACTGAGATGAAGTGGACAGATTCTCTGGAAAGCACAAGTTATCCAGGGAGACACAAGGAGACACAAACAGAACTTGAATCAATTTTTCAGCACTTCATACAAAGAAGACCCCAGGACCAAATGCCTCTGCCAGTCAAAATTTCTAAACATTTAAAGAAAACAAATTAACACAAGTATTACAAAAACTGAGAGAACAAAAAAAAAAAAAAAAAGAAAGAAAGCACTCCTCAGTGTGCCCTGTGCGGTGAGGATTACCTCAGTGCTAAAACTTGATAAGGACGTTACAAAAAGGGAAAATGCTGGTCAGTCTCTCCCATGAGAAAACCTAGGACTTAAACCTTTTCTGTAAAGGGACCTGAGAGTAAAATTTTTGTCCTTGTAGGTCATTCGATCTCTGTGACAACTCAGCTCTGCCACTGTGATGCAGAAGCAGCTATAGGCACAACATGAATGTGTGAGCATGGCTGAGCATCTAACAAGACTTTGGGACCAATAAACGGACAAGTGGCCAAAACAATATTAGCTAATTTAATCCAGTGGTATATAAAATAGTTATTCTAGGAATTCAAAGTCATCTGAATGATAAAAAATTATCACATTAACAGAATGAAGAAGAAAAAACATTGGGTCATTTCAGCAAATGTAGAAAAATCGGTAAAATTCAAACAGTTTTTACAATTTTTTTTTTTTTTTTTTTTTGTATAGGGGATCAAACCCAAAGGCACTTTACCCCTGGGCCACATCCAAGCCTTTTTTTTTTTTTGAGACAGGGTCTCTCTATGTTGCTGAGGCTGGCCCTAAACTTGCAATACTCCTGCCTCAGGGTCCCAAATAACTGATATTACAGGCGTGCACCACCATGCCCAGTTATAAATAAAAATTCTAAGTAAACTAAGACTGGAAGGGAACTTTCTGAATTTGATGAGAGATATCTATAAAAACATCAAACAAAAACTCCCATACCCCAAAGGAAACAACATATCATGTGGTGAAATATTTGAAGCAGCTGAGGAGAGAATGGGGTCTGCCCTATCACCTCTCACACTGTGCTGGAGATCTAGTGCAACGAGGCTTTTTAAAAATATAAGGATTATAAAAAAATAAATAAATAAAAGTTATTATTTGCAGATGACAAGACTGGGTAAGTCTGAAAGTACAAAGCTTATTAATTAAAATTAATGAATTTATCAATCATGGGATATAAAATCAGCATACAAAGTCAATCACATATCTACATTATATGCTAGCAATGCCTAATTGGATTAGGAATTTTAAAAAATCAATACACTTCATGAACATAAAAACTAGGAGAGGGAGCCAGGTGCAGTGGCACACACCTGTGATCCCAGTAGCTCGAGAAACTGAGGCAGGAGGATGGTGAGTTCAAAGCTAGCCTCAGCAGCTTATTAAGGCCTTATGCAACTCAGTGAGACCCTGTCTCTAATACTTAAAAACAGGCTGTGGATGTGGCTCAGTGATTAAGCACCCCTGGGTTCAATCCCTGGGACCAAAAAAAAAAAAAAAAAAAACTGGAGAGTGAAAAGAATGGAAGAAAATGTTTGCAAATTATATAGTTGATAAGGATTTAATATCCAGATTATATAAACAACTCCTGCAACTTAGCAGAAGGACAAACAGCCTCATTTAAAAATGGATAAAAGACTTGAATAGACATTTAAATGACCAATAAGCAAATGAAAAGAGAGATGTTCAGCATCATTAGTCATTGCGGAATGCAAATCAAACCACACTGAAATACCACTTCATACTAACCAAAATCTCAAAGCCCAAACTGAAAGACAGTAGTGAAATTGGAACCCTCATCGGTTGCTGGTGGGAATGTGAAGGGATACGGCTGCTGTAGAGAACTGTCTAGTGGGTCCTCAAAGGGGAACGTTTAGGATTACAGGACCCAGCGATTCCACTTAGTAATACAGAACTGCAAAGAGGAACTCGGATACTTGTGAGCTGGTGTTCATAGTGGTATTATTGACTGCAGCCAAAAGGTGGAAACAACCCAACCATCTATCAAGAAATGAATGGATAAACAGCATGTGTTACTCCCCAAGGCTTTAACTTTCTGTATTTTCTGGTGCTCTGACATCTGGGGCCTTGCTAACAAAGGAGCAGCTGCCCCTCCTGGGCTTGGCCAAATCCTAGAAAGTCCGGTTTTCATAGGAAAACTACCCCATCCCAGTGCACACCCAGACTACCTCCTTTCTGGAGCTCTTACCCTCAGGGCTGCCACACTCTCTCTAAGGCCAGGTTCCTGCCCCAGTGCTCTAGAGCTCTCCTTAACTAGCCAAGGCTAACCTGCCAGCTTCCTTTCCTGTGGAAACCACAAGAAAGGCTCCTTTCCACATCTCTCCTCACCCTTCTGCCTCCTGACTCGGGTGCTTCCCCAGGTGGCCTTGTGTAGCATGCTATGCCTCCTGTTTCTGGGGACATGTAAGTCTAAATCTCTTCCTTCATATCAGTCATCTCAAATCATTTTAAAATATAGAGAGGAATGTAGAGACGACCCAAGATAATATTATTCCTAGAATAGTAATTAAGACAATATGATATTGGACAACGACAGTAAATCTATAAACAAAATAAATACTTGCACAGATTTTTTTATGCTTTTTTAAAATTTGGAAATAATTTCAAACTTTCCAAAAAATTTTTGAATATGATTTGTACACAACACCTGTATGCCTTTAAGGGCTGAATTGTGTCGTCCAGCTCCCATTCATACGTTGGAGCCCTAACCTCGCGGTCTCAGCATGCAACCATATCCAGAGACAAAGCCGTAAGGAGGAAATCAACAAGAGGTCACTAGGGTCGCCCTAAAGCAGCAGACTGGTGTTAGGACAAGAGCAGGTCCTAACACAGGGGCCATGGACAAGCCAACCAGAGAGGCCTGGGAAGAAACCAGCCCGAGCTGGCCAGCTGGGTGCCTTCAAACTGGCTTCGTGCTTCGTGGCCACAGCGACCGCGGGAGGACAGCGAGGTCATCAAGAACGGTCCTGGTGGCCGTCCGAGCGTGTCCTAAGACCTCATAGCGGGACGGCGCGGATGCAGCTGGGGCGCGCGGCCCACATGGGGCCCCCGCAAGCCCGGAGGCGGGGACGCGGCGGTGGCCGCTGAGGACGCCACTAACAGAAGTGGGGCAGGGCGGGGACGCGGGCGGCTTCACTGTGCGGCGCAGGGGCCCCGCGTGACAGCGGGGTGCTGGAGGGCAACGGCGCTCGGCGGGGGACACGCGTGACAACGAGCAGGAACCGGGCGCTAGGAGCTTCGCCTCTGCCCCACGAGACTGCGCTTCGTTTGTAGCAGACGAAGACTCCGCAGCTCAGAGACGGGAACTCGCTACCCCAGGCCACACGGCCCTACGCAGTTCGCTGTGACCGGGCCTCACCTGACGAGAAAGCCCACGTAACAGAAACCCGCTGCCAAGATGCCGGTCGCCCGGTTTCCACTTCCCCGGGAACGGAACTTCCGGCGGAAGTTCTTTCGGAGGCGGATCCGCCACCCTGGCCCCGCCCCCTTCGCCTCGCGCTGCCCTCCATTCAACCAATCGCGGCTCTGTTTCTTATCAGGGCGGAGTCCCACTGCCCAATCGGCGAGGGTGCTCGTCGCTTGGCAACCGCGTCGCGAAGACGCGGGGTGGGCCGGGCCTCTGTTACCAAGGGTCCGCGCACCCCGCGAGGCGGAGCCGCGGGCAGGGCCGGGGTAAGGCCGCGAGCCACGGCGCACGCTCCCCGCGTGCATTCGGGTGGCGACGCGCGAGCCCTGGGGCCGAGGAGGAGCCGGGCGGGCGCCCGAGCGTCTCATGGCCGAGACTGCCCACTGGGACGCAGGTTGTGGTTCGTGTGCCCAGCACGTCCAGGAGCGGCTGCCTGTGCCTGGCACGTCGTAGGCTCTGGGCTGCTGCCCACAGGGCGGTCCCTGCTCCCCTACAGCTCCGCGACTTTTAGGAAAGCGACAGTGAACAGCGTGGAAGGTGATGGCATCTTCCCGGGATCTCGAGGATCTGACAGGGATCGTGTGCGGAAATGCCTCAGATCGCTCCAGTTTTACAAAACGTTTCGTGCCCCGTGTTCATTCACGCCCCACAGCAATCTTGAATACCATTAACTCCAGCTTATAGATGAGGACTTGGAGTCTGAGGGGTTTGTCCAGATCACACAACTAGAAAACCTCAAAGCCAAAATACAAACGCGTTTCTGTATCGTGGCAAATCTCTGCTCTTTCCCACTCTTCCCCTTGGACCACACATAGCCACACATGGCAATCCCTGCCCAATCTCGCTCATTTTGTCTGGAAGCACTTTGTGAAATGTAGTGTGATTCTGGTCTTAGTTAAGACAGTTGTCCATATCATCCCTCCCCTCCCTTTCTCTCCTTTCCTGAAAATCTTAGCCTTTGAGGACGTCTTGACGCATTAAGCAGGCTCCTACATCACTTTGGAGACATTCATAGTGTTTTTAAAATTTCATTAGTAATCCTTAAGGGGTAAACTTACAGAAATGGCATAAATAAATTCTACTTGTACACTCTACGGTGCCTTTATCCTTATTTTATCCATTACCTTCAATTCAGCAAACGTTTATTCAGCGAAGGTCTGGGGATTGGAAAGTCAGCCAGGCAGGAGTGGTCATCTGTGAATATATTTGCCTCCATCCAACCGTGTCTTTGAGGACAAGGATTCTGTTTTAGTTATATAATGCTTTCCCTTTCCCCTCCACATTCAGTTTAATATTTGATTTGTGATAGGTGTTTGTAGATAATATGTCAAGAAATATTTACTTGAGAACTTAAATTTTGTTCTCCAATTTTGTCTGCCTTTTTCCTGCCCCTTTCCAGCCATTCACTGCTTCCCTGTGGACAGCAATTTCTCCAGCACTCATGCTGTGACCTCTTCGGCTGACCAGCACCTAGAGACAGAGCCAGCTCTGTGAGAATGTTCAGTAGAATGGTTCCTGTCCAGCCCAGAACTGTGGTCAGATGCCAGTGGCCACTCACAAGGCCATTGCTTTAGTGAATCTTCTTTACAGATGTGTATTGAGTGACTGTATGAAGTTAGTACATACTGAGAGTCAAGAGGGTTTCCTGGATGTCTCCTTCCCCTTCCAGGATTGAAAACTAAGCTGCATAATGAATATGAGAAATGGTGAGAAAAGAAATCAACCATAATTTTCTTTCTTTTATGCTACAAATGGTCTTTTTGTGAAGTGTATCTATCAAAAAAATACTCCTTATCTAGGCTTGCACAATTTTGTTGATTATATTATTGTAATATTCTATTTAAATATTAATTCACTTTGATGCCCTCACTATTTGGAAGAGGGGTGTATTTGAGGAAATTGTGATTAAAGAACATGAATATAATATATTTCTGGTACTAAAGGCCTTCTTCTTTTTTTTTTTTTTTTGGTGCGGAGGATTGAACTCAGGGGTGCTTAACCACTGAGTCATACTCCCAGCGCTTTTTTATATTTTTATATTTATAAATAGTGTCTCACTGAGTTGCACTAGAACTTCTGGGATTACAGGTGTGCGCCACTGTGCCTGACACATCCCCACCCCTGTTTATGTTTTATTTTGAGGTAGGGTCTCACTAAGTTGCTGAGGCTGGCTTTGAACTAGCGATCCTCCTGCCTCAGCCTTCAGGGATTACAGGTATGTGCCACTGTGCTGGGCAAAATGCTTCACTTTTAACTTCTCTTTCTCTTGGTTTTGACCTCTGACTTTTATTTTGTTTACTTGTTTCAGGTGCCATCTGTTATTTTTCTCTCCATCTATTTGTCTTTAGTTTGTATAATGTTGAGCACTTACTACGTTGTTGGCCTGGGTTGGGGTCCACATGCTTTTTTTTTGCTTACCTTCACAACCTGCCTGTGTAAAAGGAGTTGCTTTTCCCATTTTCAGGGACATGGGTTAAAGGACTTTATAAAGTGGATAAATGCTAGAACATGGCCTTTATTCCAGGCGGCCTGCTAATAGAACCTGTGTTCTTGACTAGTACTCTACCACTCTCCAGTGTTTGTATACTCCCCGAATCCTGCCAAGGCTTGGACTCTAAGAATACCTGCAATGTGGTAAAATAGAAACATGGAAATCAGGATCATGAAAAAAGGCACACAGAGTGGGAAAATAACATCAGGAGAGAAGAGAATGCACAGATCGTCGGAGATAAGGAGTAGAGTTGGACTGCAAATTTAGCTGCACATTTTGTCAACCCAAGGAAAAAAAAAAGAAGGAAGTTGCATCGTTTTGTACAAGTAAACAAGACTTTTGGTTTTGGTTTTGGTACTGGGGATTGAACTCGGGCACTCGACCACTGAGCCACATCCCCAGCCCTATTTTGTACTTTATTTAGAGACAGGGTCTCATTGAGTTGCTTAGTGCCTTACTTAGGCTGGCTTTGAACTTGCGATCCTCCTAAACAAAACCTTTTAGTTCCTCCTGGAATAACAGTTCTGTGTTACCTAGATCAAAGAGAACTTTCTCGTGGGGCTCATCTCAGAGACTGGGAAGGGCCTGGGTTACAGGTGGGTGAGGGAAGTGGAGGCTTAGCGTTCCACTATCAGGGAGTGTGTGGGCTACTGCGTTGGAACTGAATATTGAAATTAAAGATTCCTGAATAATCGTTTCCAGTAACGCCCTCTGATTGCCTCCACTGTGGGACTTTGTGAACAGTGTTATCCTGTCCCCCTGGTTGGTTCGGTCCTTTACTTGTTCATTTCCTTAGCAGCGATTCATTGAGCGCTTGCCCACTGCCAGGCCCTGCCAAGGCACTGAGGTGCTGCAGCAGTGGTCACCTCCCTCTCTTGGCACTCGGGGTGCCTCTGGCCTGTCAGTACCTCTGCCTGTCAGCACCTCCTGCAGGGGTGTTCTGGACTGCTTTGTTCTCTGTGATCATCCTTTAATATCCTGAGATGACACTTAGCATCCTATTTTTTTTTTTTTTTTGTACCAGGGATTGAGCCTTAACCATGAGCCATATCCCCAGCCCTTTTTATTTTTTTTATTTTGAGACAGGGGTTTCCTAAGTTGCTTAGGACTTCACTAAGTTGCTGGGGCAATACTCCTGCCTCAGCCTCCCAAACCACTGGAATTACAGGGGTGCGCCACCGCACCCGGCAAAACTTAGTATCCTACACAGCAACAGTCTGCCTGACATATGTCCTGTGCTCTGGTTTATCTTTCTGTACATTCCAAGGACCTGAAAAGAGGAATGGCAACCAAACAGTGAAAGCTTACTGCGTGCCAGGCACTTCAGGGATGTGAGCTGGAGTCCTTTCCTGGCTTTTAGTAGATTTAAACATTTTTTTTTGGGGGGGGGGGGAGTCACTTGCTCTGTGTAAAGCAAAGATAGTCAAATCACATACAAGTGTGTATTCAATCTCAGAGTTTATAGATTTACAGATGCACATGTGTGGACACGTGGTCCCTAGATTCCAGGTTAAGAATACTTGTTTTAAGGAGAAATGTTATTTCCATTTTGCAAATGAGGAAACTGGTTCAGGAAGAGGTTATTTAACTTTCAAGTTTGCACAGTAGATAGCAGAGCCAGTTTGACCCCATGTCTGCTTGACTCCAAGTCCTTTGTTTTTCCCACTGTCCCAAAGCACAGACGCTCAGTGAATGACTGAGGGATACATGGAAGCAAATGGAAGTCTTAGAGGGAGCTTCATAATATGTGTCCCCAGATATGACAGACCATCCATTTGACAGTGGAATAGACGAGGAGAGGTTTTTCTCAAGTATTTGGTTTTAACTGCCAAGATCTTTTGTGTTGCTTATAGTTTTTTTCAATGTAGTCAAGTGCTAATCCCCAACCACCTCCCCCAAGCTACCAGTTCCAATAATTTTTGCTTTTGGTGCCATCTCTGTTTGGCTGTGCACATTTTTTACTCTTGTGTTGAATTGTGTTTTCTCTGGATGCCAAGGCAGATGGATGGCACTTTTGTTATGATTCTGATATAAATAGCATCTGTTAAAAGCTGGACATCAATACTTCTTTGGCAAATAAACAAATACATCAGGGGAAGAGCCTTCTAATTGTGTTTTGGCCCGTGGTGAAGAAGTGTATCTGAAAATCTGTGACTTTGTGCTTATTTGGAGGGTACTGCTTTGTTGTTGTTGTTGTTATTGTTATTGTTTTGTTTAGGGGTTTTTTTTTGTGTGTGTGTGGTACTGGGGATTGAACCCAGGGGCACTTAACTAGTGAGCCACCCCAGCCCTTTTAATAAATAAATAAATTTTTTTTGGAGGGGTACCAGGGATTGAACCCAAGGGCACTCAGCCATTGAGCCACATCCCCAGCTCTATTTTGTATTTTATTTAGAGACAGGGTCTCATTGAGTTGCTTAGTGCCTCACTGTTACCAAGGCTGGCTTTGAATTCACAATCCTCCTGTCTCAGCCTCCTGGGCTGCTGGGATTACAGGTGTGTGCCACTTTGCCTGTCTAAT